ACTATGCAGTCGAATTACTACCAGAAGGAACGCCACATAATGCGGGATGACGATTAATAAAAAACGGGAGAGAGCGATTACAAACATAGTTTTCTGCTATTTCTAGACAATTTTCTGACTGGAGGAACTCGATTTAAAACATGGTTTTCCAGCCCGCGGTCGGTTTTTTCTAATCGTCATCCCGGGCGCCGCCGCGTGAACTCGACCCCCGGTCATTTATTAATCGTCATCCTCGATTACTACCAGAAGGAACGCTAAATAAGGAACGTAGCCCCTTTTTGGCACCAGCAGCGCCCGGGTGCACGAGGAGCGAGAAAGGAACAGCCATCGAAGAGCTCAACTCGCCATCGCTCGGACGCCCATTCCCTGTGTTTTTTGTCGGTTTCGTGCGTGGCTGTTTCGCCAAATGATCAAGGATGCTCCTCGATGGTCCTCGCCGAAAGAAAAATGCAGACGTCCGAGCGATGCCAAGAGCCCTTTTCTGGACCCAAAGCGGTCCTCGTGCCCAGGCCTTGTTTGGACGCCGCAGGGCCCACGCCCCCCCGCCGCCACGCCTCGCGCGGCGCCGCCTCCTCCGCCCGGGGGGGCGTGGGCACGGGCGCTCCGGCACGCCTGCGCGGCCCCGGCCACGAGCTTCCCTACCCCATGGCGTCCCAGTGGTACCTCCTCCTCCTCCTCCACCTCCTCCTCCTCCTCCTCCTCCTCCTCCTCCTCCTCCTCCTCCTCCTCCTCCTCCTCCTCCACCTCCTCCTCCTCCTCTCCTCCTCCTCCTCCTCCTCCTCCTCCTCCTCCTCCTCGTCCTCCCTCCTCGTCCTCCCTCCCCCCCCCCAAACGCCACTCCGCAGGATTTCCACCCGCGCTCCGGCCCCCCCCCGCCGCGGCAGGGATCGGGCGGGTCCGGGGGCGGGGCACTGGTTCCACTCGCCGGGCCGGTGTTGCTGGAGCTCCATGCCCCAAGACTGGAGCTCGCGCATCAGCCCCTCCTCGGGGAGGGGGGGAATCTGTTTTAGGCACTCGGTTTGAGTATAGCGTTGCTTCCCCTGCATCTTCTCGCGCCTCCTCCGCCCTCCTGCGTCATAACTCCTGCCTGCCTCCTATCTTGCCTCTCTGGGTGCTAGCAACTGGTCACGAAATGCGTAATGCTTTGCAGGCTTCGTGAGCTCCTGAGAGGTCCAGGGGACTGCGATCCTACGGGGATCCAAACGAGACCTCGTGTGACATCTTGAATCAGGCTAGACCTCCGCTCCCTGGGCGCTGCCAACAGCGCAATTGCCGCCGCACTCGGAAGCTCCCGAGAGGTCCATCTGACGCGGATCAAACCAGATCTCCTCTCCCTGGGCGCTGCAAACAGCGCAGTCGTCGCCACGTGCGTGAACTCCTGCGAGGTCCAACGGTGACCTCGTACGCCTGAGAGTGACAGTCCTTCAAAGTCGCCTCTTGATGGTTTTCTGGGGTGCGCAGCGCGTAGGTCACCCATGTAGCGCACTCCCTAATGTTTCTTCGTATTCGACGAGCCCGTTGGTATTCCCACGTGTTGCGGATGGTGCGGGTATGTCGCTATGTAATTCTGATTCAGGAGATTGCGAGTACAGGGGGTAAGACAAAGTGAAATTGTGAGGGGAAGGGAGGGGCCTCTGGGAGGAGAGGAGAAGAGGGGGAGGAGAGGAATGAAGGGGGGAGAGGAGAAGGGACGACGCAAGGACCCGCTGCATCGCCTCCAAAGGGCGGCTCCCTTGTTCGCCGCCCCGCCTAAAGGGGGGTCAGAGCAGGGAACGGGAGGGTCGGCGGGACACCAACGACCCGTCAGACAGAGCATGGCCAGACCCACGTTTTGTCCTAACTGCTCACCCTGCTGGGCCAGGAGACGAGGGAGGTGCTCGCAACCGTCTGAAGCCATCGCCTGCTCTGACCCCCGCCCTGTGCCTGTTTGGATTCATCGGGTACCCAGGCTGCTAGCGGGGCAAACGAGCCATAGAGCCGACGTATGTTCATAGACGGCTCACATGGCTTCAAGACAGCCCAAGAGGCCCCCCAAACACCCCCAGGGGGCACAGAAAGGACCGCCAAGAGGAACCCAAGAGACCAACAATCGCGCCAATCCCTCAGGCAAGCGTATACTTGAAAAACGTTTTTCCTTTTTGGGTCCACGCAGCGTCCACGACGGCCGACGAAACCTCCAACACCACCCCAAGACGACACTCGTCGCCAGGAGACCCCCAAACCGCCCAAAAGGGCACCAAGACGGCCCGGGAGGCATACTGCACCAAAAACGCCCAAGACGGCCCCAATAGGAGCCAACCATGGGGTAAAGCAAAGGCGATGAGATACCAAGATAATCCAATGTGTGATCCGACTCCCTGTCCTCGTTGGTTTTCAGGACATCATGAGATCAAGAGCAAATGATGTTGCGAGCAACCTTTTCAACACATAGAGCTGCACTCCTGGAAAGGGGGCCGTAAGCCCCCTCCCTCTGAGCCCAAATTAGCTCAAAGGAAAAGGGGCTCCAGAGGTTCTGGCTAAGCGCTCGGGCCTCTAGAAATCTCCAGAGGCCTCTAGAATCACACTGGCTGGTGAACTCCTCAAACCTTCTGCCTCGGACACTGGCTGAGTCGAGGCTGCAGCCACATGGGCCTCCTCGGCCTCCCTGATCCACCGGTAGGCCTCGGGCTCGTAGTTGCGATCGTCCTCGACGCGATCTCGCCGGGGTCCTCCTGCGCAGTCCATCTCGTAGATGTCGAGACCTGGGAAGCAGCAGTCGGTCACGCCGGCGTAGGTTGGCTGGTTCATCACGATTCCGCTGATTGCGTTCTTCTTCTCGTCGGCGAAGCACGATGCCATCTGAAGTGGTGCCATGTTCCCCCTTGCTCCAGGGCGCGTCGTAGAAGGGTGCTTTCGCCCCTTCTCTTGGCGAATGGATCCGTCAACTGGCTGGCGCCCTCGATCCACCGCAAATGAACCTCAGGCCTCTGCACGGCGGCACATGCGATGGCCACGTCTACCGCTACTCGCTACTCTCTTCTCCCCAGCCAATCCCGCCTTCGGATTGGCGACGCGGTCGTAGCCTCCTCTTGAGTCTGGGGCGCCGACGACTGGAAAGCGCCCTGCCAGAAGATGCGGCCGCATGAAGTCAAACCCTGGGTCGACAAACTCCAGCAACATCGCCCAGATCAGCTCGGCCACGGCCATGCCCTCGGAAATGGCCAGCGTCTTCGAGCCAAACTGGTGAGCACAGTTCCTCTTCAGCTTGCGGCTCTTCCAGGCTTGGACGGCGATGGTGGCCGCCTCGCCAATCAGGATGCTGCGCTGCGTCGCGAACGCGATGTAGCCCCCAAGAACCCAAAAAGCACACGCCCATCCGGGGCCCCCTGGATCACGAGGTCAGGGTTGGGCTTAGTGGGCTCCAGAAACGGCAGGGCTGCGCGTCTCGAGCTCAAGTAGATCAGGGTCGGCATGGCACTGGGCGGCCCAGCGTGCTTTGGCCACGCCCCAGCCGCCCCCGCTCTGAAATAGCAGATGCCTTTTACTCGCGTCGGCTTCCTCTGGGTCCCAATCCCTGTCGGTCCGCGCCCATATGGATGCCGTGATACGCTTGGCTAGCTCAGGATTACACCGCACCCGACCAGCTTCCGCGGGAGTTTGTGCCCGCGCGGCCCCGGCGATCTTGATGTTGTTCCATTCTCTGCGCTGGGCCGCGGTGTAGGGCTAATATTTGTAAGTGTTCAACAGACACTTCTCGGTGATCTCCTTCCCCGTGCGCTGATCGGTGCTGGTGAGCATTGGTTGGAGACGTAGCTGGTCTTGCCCTTTGCGGGCCTCTTCTGAGGCCCTGGGCGACAGCGACGCGTCCTTCAACATCTGCTTCTCCGTCGTCGCGATGCGCTCCGTCACTGGCATGGCTGAGGCCGGGTTGTCGGACTTTCGCTTGACCGTGAGAGGGGCGTCGTCCAGGTGATCGCAGCGCTGTGTAACCATGGGCACTGGACATGGTGCCACTTCTGCTGCCTTCTCGATCTCCTTGATGGACGGCTGCCATGAGGATGGAGGCTGATCGTCTGCGGCTGGCCCAGGTGGTGCTGCCTGGGGCACTGCATGTTCTGGTTCGTCTAGGGGTTCCGCCTGTCGGGTACGATCCTCATTTTGCGCCTCCCGCGGTTCTCGGTTCTCAGCTCCTCTCGCATCGAACTGTCGACCTGGTCCCAGGCCGCAATCTCGCTCTCGTTTGCATGTCGCAGCTGCTCAGGTGAACGAATCAGCAGTCCACCTTGGAAGTGGCGCCAGATCACATTCGGCAGCTCCGCATGGATAAGGCGAACGGGGCCGCGCCACGAATTCTCGGGCAGCTTGTCGGAACTGCTTCTCTAGAAATAGCATCGGCCTCCAAGATGAAGCGTCGCCCCCCGTGGTGGTCGGGCCCTCCTGTTGAGCGCGCGCCTCCACCTCTCTGCGCACTCGGCCTCGGTGGATGCCGCCGTGGCCGCCTTGCGCGCGTCGGCCCCCCCACGCCCAACTCCGCGTCTTTGTTCGTGGTGCGGGGCACCGTAGTTAGACTGGGAGACCCTTCCTTCCAATGTTTTCACAAAATGCTTGAAGGGCCTGCCGAACACCCGCTGGCAAGGCGCGAAACCTCCTCTGCGCGCTCTCCCCCGTGCTTGCGTTGACGGCATCCACCAGCCCGTGCAGGTCGCCCCAGCAGCTGGCACTGCACTTCTGCCTGGTCCTGTAGAAGGTCTCCTTCCAAGTGCCCCCTGCGCGCTCGGTCTCGCATGCCTGCCCTGGCGAGGCAGCACATGTTACCTTCGCGTCCATGCCGCCTCCTTCGGCAGAGTCGGTAAATTCGCCCGCCGAGAATCCCCCCTCGCCGTCGACCTCGATGATGCGGGGTGTGCCGTAGACTCTCTTCCAGAATGCTCGGTAATGACGTCGCGGAGTGTCCGTGTCGGCTGGGAAGTGGTGCCGCGATCTGATGCCCTGCGCCGCGGCACAATGTTGAGCACGGGGGCCTTGGCGGTGTTCTCGGGGCCGAAAACGAAGAAGATGCCCGCGCCGATGACATCGCCGAACTGGTAGGTTGGGGGCGCCTTGGACGGCATGGCCAGCCTAGGCCGCTTACGGTCCACGCAGCTCGGGCGCGCCAGATGCTGCGCCGCCTCGATGGGGACCTGCCAACCCTTGCCGTACTTCAGCGCCATGGCCAAACTCTCGTTGCTGCAATGGCCCATGTTCTCGTGCACCTCCTGAACCTGCTGCTTGACCCGGGGATCGGCGCTCCTTTCCTGCTTGGCGTTTGTCGCCGGTGCAGTGCAGCATGTAGAACTGAGCGTGCGTGCCCTGTCCGACTCCTCCTCTGAGGCGTCCTTCGCCTTGGCGATCGTCTTCTCTATTAAGATGCACCGCGTCGGCGAGCCGGTCAGCCTGCCCCCGCAACGGCTCGGGGATGTCACCTAGCTCCGTCTGGAAGGGGCCGCTCGCAACCACCTGGCTCACCATCTTCTCAAAATCGAGCGAGCTCCCAGGCAGGTTGGATAAGCAAGCTCGGTCCTTGATGTATGCGTTGTCGGAGAGTATCTCAGGCAACCGCTTCAGCTGGCTGATCAATGTATCCTCCAGGGCTCGTGAATTGACATCCTGCTCTAGATAGAAATACCTGCAGTTTGCCGCCTGCTTAGTGGCCGCACCTGACGCGAAGGCTAGACGCCCTTCCACATTTGCGCCTTCCACCTCGCGTCGTGGATCTCCCGGGGCGGCTTGATAGCGATGAGTAGCGGCACCTGATATCTCATCTTATCCCAGACTTCCTTACGCCCGCTCTTCGTGCTCAGCTCTTCGCGCTCAGGTGATGTCCCATGGGCGCCGCCACGTCCTTGTCCATCTTGAACATCGTGGCCCGACAGTCCTCCTCCAGGTCCTCAAGCTTCTCCTGGGGGCCCCCCTGATCCTGCTCGAGAAGGCCGCGCTCTCGGGCATCGCTGCCCGCGCCGCCACCCGCGTGCTCTTCTGCTCCGACATATGCATCCAGGCGTTGTTGGTATCGTTGTTCCTCGCCTCGCTGAGACTGTTCAGAGCTCGCTGGTACCTGCTCCCACGTGGTCGCGGAGGGTCGCGACCAGGCTGCGGGTCGCCTCGTGGCGTTCTCGTCTTGGAGGGCATCCTTCAGCGCCGTCAATGTTTTGCCGCGCGGTGACTCGCCCAGCTCCCCTCAGCCTTCCTGCCCGCAGTGGCCCATCGCGCCCTCGTCCTGGCGACTCTGCTGGTGCCGGGCGACCGTCGGAACGATCTCGGCTTTCTCGGGGTGCCTCGTTCTGGTAGTCGACGCTCTGTTTTGCGTAGAAGTATCGGTTCTTCCTTCGCTGTCTTGGTGCCCTTCTTGTCCGGCGGCCTCCATCCCTTGGCGTTCGCCCCCGGCGCCTCGCGCATCTCGATGGCCCCGATCGCCTCCTGCGCCCCTGGCGCGACCCTCGGGTGGCATTCCAGGCGGGAATTGCACGCGCTGCGCCGCGCGCAGAAGCCCTTCGCGTTCCCGCCGCCACTGCGGAACACGAACGCAGGTGGGCTCCCCCCTCGGGTCGCGACCCCTGGCCCTCGTTCCCACCGCTGTCTGACAGGGCCCCTGGTTCGCGATCCCGAGGAGGATCATCGCTCCTGTCGGTAGTCTCGGCTAGTCGCTGATCTCGTTCCAGGGCCGCTCGAGACATGTTCTCGTCTCCTTGGTCGCCGGCTGCAGCCCCTTCTCCGCGCGGGCCACTGGTCTCTCCGCCGCCGCGCCCAAGTCCTCAGTCTGCGCGGGCGCCGCCGGCCCTCGAGATGAGAGAGCGGGCGAGGGCCGAGAGGATGAACTCGGGGGCTCGTCGCATGCCGCGTACACATGGGCATGGGCAGGCCGAGGTTGCACTCGGAATCCTCGTTCGCGACGTCTGGATAGAGCCGATCTGGTTACTTCTCAGCGGGCTTTTGCTGCGGTGCCGTTCCAGATTCGGATTTTCTCGCTTTGACCAGCTGCCCCGCTGGAGGCTGCTCTCGTCTGGCTTGTTGATGTTCGTCTAGCTCGCCGCCGTGCCCATCTAAATAATGCCGCTACTTTTCGCCCCATCCACCTCGCGATCCCCGCCTCTCCTCACGCCTCCATTTCGCCGTTGCTCGATCGGCCCAAGACTCGAGAACAGGCAGCTTCAAATCTCCTGACTGGCACCGTCGCGCAATAGAGCTGACGCCGATCAACGCTCATGCTCGGGGCGCGACCCGAAGTCCATCGACGCTTCGCGGCCTCGCGAAGCTTGCCCCACGGCCTCGCTTCACGTCTATCGGGCTTGCCCCACTGCCTCGCGAAGATGTCCAATGGTAGTGAGAAGTGCCCCCCCCCCGCCAGCGCGAGCCAGAGGAAGTCTCGAATCCTGCTCGGGCAAATCCAGCCCCGACTGAAGTGCGCGCAGAGAAGCCTCGAGCTCCACGACGAAAATCTTGGACGTCAGAAGTGGAGCCGCACGCGCAACGAGGCGCACGACTAACGGGGTGATGACGCCTTCCGTCGCAGCGCAGACACGGTCGTTCCCGAACCCGAGCAAAGCACCCAGCGCGCTTCTCCGCGCAGCGCTTGGCCCACTCGGCGAGCGCGCCCAGGCCCGTCGCAATGAAACCGCACGCCGCGCCCGCTGCCCCTCAGCCTGGTCGGCCTGACTTCTCGACGTCTGGGGCCGGGCTGATGCGCTCCGCGAAGTTGGGCCCGGGCGCCATTTTCGCCTCCTTCGCAATGTAATTGCAGACCTCGTCGTCCTGAAGCACCGTCATCGCGATGAAACCGCCAGCGGGCTTGCTCTGGTTTCCAGTCTGACGGGGAATTCGCTATGCCAGTGTCCCCGCTTCTTGCGTCTGCCACACTTCGTCCCTTCTGCGATCCCCGTGGTCGTGAAAACCGCAGTTGGTCTTCTTATCGGCCACCGTCTCTCGCGCCTCCCCCCGCGCCCTTGGCTCCGGTGGCGGCGTGGTGATAGCCGCCAAGCAGCCGAGCGCCTCCGTCTCCGTCAGGGCCTGCCCGCTTTCCGTCTACTCGTCTATATCTCTCAGCTCGCCCCGCTCGACGCCGAGTAAGTTGGCCATCGCGTGGTATCCTGCGTTGCCCACCTCTGTTCAGATGCTGGTTGTTCGTCGTCCACCCCTGCCAGATGCGCTGCATTCGTTGTCGATTACTTGTCGGTCACAGTGGCGTCGCCGGTCATCCTCTTCCAGAGCGCCACGGGTTTGTTCACATTGAGGTCGTGCCCCGTTTGGATCAGCACCTGGTTCCTCCGCGTCTTGGCTAGGCCAGAACCTCTCAGTAGCAGACACCAGGTCGTGCGTGTGAAGTTGCCGTCGCGGCCTCCTTCGTCATGTGCAATAGCAAGGTCTCGCCCTGCTCTTCAGATGGCAGTGCGGCCAGCCGACTCCATCTATCAATCCCCAATCTCTCTTCTGGCCACCCGCTCATATCCTTACCACCCCAAGTCGGGCATGGAAGGTCCTTGCCCTTCCGACTTCCTCGTCGGTCTGGTTCGTCACCTTCCTCGAGAAAACCTCGCGCCTCCGTCACTTTCCTCGTCACCTGGTCAGGGGTCCCGAACCCTCGTGACGGCGTATACCTATCCGAAGATCCTGTCTGAGAGCCTCACTTCTTACCCATGTTGCGCTCCTCGGAGACGCCCCAAAAGTCATCATGGTCCTCACTTGCCCACCAAGCTCCCCCGTTGGAGTGTTTTCTGCATGTTCTTGAAGTGTTGCCCTGATGTGCTGCTCGTCTCTGTGGTGACTGTTATGTTCCTGTGTGTTCGAGGCGTCTTTTGTACCGTGCTGCTGCTCGCTCTTGCCATTCCCTCCTCCGTCGTCGGCGAGGTCCCACACGTTGGCGTCGTGATTGTCGTTGCCGTGGCTCCGCTTACCACATGTGATCCGACTTCCGTTCTGGCCTGAGTAAGTTCCCAGGACATCATGAAATCAAAAGGGAATGATCTTGCGAGCGGTTTGTTCAATCTGTGGAACTGCGCTCCTAGAAGGGGGCCGCAGGCCCACCACTTCCTCTGAGCCCCATATGGCTCAAAGGAAAAAGGGGCTTCATATGGGTTTTGGCTGAACACCCGGGCATGTAGGGGGCTCCAAAAGCCTCTAGAATCACACAAGGACAGCCCACATGTCCCCAAGAAGCTTCAATGGGGCCCGCAAGAGGCCTCCAAGAAACCCCAAAAGGCCTCCAAGAAACCCCAAAGGCACCCCAAGAAGCCCCGGAATCGGGCCCCACGAAAAAGGGCCAAAGACGTGAACGCGAAGAGATCGCGAATGAGTTGTTGGAGCCGTACTGACTCTGTCGCTTGATGCTGGCCAGCAGCTTGGCCCCCAAGGGTCGTCGGTACGGCGTAAGCCCGTGACTTGATTTACGCGACTGGATGATGTGAACACCTGTCGCCGTCCAACCGTGCAACTGTTGGGTGCCTGAAGTTTCAGAACCACAGATCCAAAGAAACATCCCAATCAGGAGCTGCATTTCTGAAAACGTGCACAGCCCATGCATGTAGATGTTGGGAATCGTTCAGGATCGCCCGCTGAATGAGGGTCAGCAACATAGCTGTTTGAGAATAGCTGGCGCACCATGGAAACACACGTGACTTACAACCACGCTGAAGCATACCGCCCTCATCCCTAGTAGCTGTCATATTTCGGGCCATGGTCGTGATAATGTGTGGATCACGGTTCCGGCTCTGAAAACTAGGCGCCCTTCACCCATGCGGTTGTTGGATATCCGAAGCGTCAGAATGACGACCTCTAAAGCTGTACGGGACAGCCTGGATCTGAACACAAAACGTCCCGTAACCCATGTACCATTTGAAGGCTCAAGGCTTCAGAATCACACGTCAGGAGGACATCTCGAGCGCGACACCCAGGACACATTCACCACACTTCTGACGGTACAAACACGAGAGGCGACTCAGGAAAATCAATGGCGGCGAAAAGGATCGCGCGCCAAGGGCCGCCACCTCTCGTATCGTCGTCCTCCTCCTCCACCCTCCCGCCATCTCACGACTCCTCCGTCTCCACCTCCTCCTCCTCCTCCCCCCTCTTCCTCCTTCCTCCGCAGGGTGGGCCCCCGCTTGGGAACGCGCGCGTGGACGGCGGCAGACTGCCGCGCATCATGCCCGCCCCGACCCCGCGACGCCTGGAGGGCTCGCTGCGGGACCCACTGTGGCTACCCGAACGAGCGGAGCTGGATGCGTCGCGAATGGCACAGCAGGAGGAGGATGAGGTAGAGGAGGAAAAGGAGGAGGAGGAGGACGACGACGACGACGACGACGGCGACAAAGGGGAGGAGGACGGGGAGAGGGACGAGGAGGGCCAGAAGGAGGACCAGGTACCCGAGGAACATTCGGAGAAAGAGGGGGGAGAGGAAGAGGAGGAGGAAGAGGAGGAGGAGGAGGAGGAGCGCACGTAGCTTGACGGTTCGTGTCAGGTACCCGGCTGGGCTCAGCTGCGCATCGCTGCGAGGGCAGCCAGCCCGGGGCCTCAGCTCGGCACGGGGCCGCGATGACAGATTTGTTTTGTTGTATACAAAAATCACAAACAATGTACGCATAACACGACAGACTTAAAACATGTACGCTTAACACGACCTACGTATTGCATCGTACACGAGGATCGTCTGACTC